CTGTGGCAGCCCCTGTTAGTGACTTTGTTAAGGCAAGAGAATCGCATGCTATGTTTCATCAGAACGCTGGAGGACTACATCAGCAATTCAACATCACCATGGAAGAAGCTCGTGGCATTGTTCGTGCATGTGATACATGTAGCCACCATGGCCCAGGACTTGGAATTGGTGTAAACCCACGAGGTTTAGGTCCTTGTGAATTATGGCAGATGGATGTGACACATGTCAATGAATTTGGACGATTGAAATATGTGCATGTTACTATAGATACTTATAGCAGATATATATGGGCAACTCCCCAAACAGGAGAGAGAGCACTGCATGTAGTACGTCACCTTACTAGTTGTTTTGCAGTTATGGGAGTTCCCGTCACAATTAAGACTGATAATGGGCCTGCATATTGTAGTGAAAAGGTTAGGAAATTTTGTCAGATGTGGGGAATAAAGCACATAACAGGAATACCACACTCGCCAACCGGTCAAGCTATCGTGGAACGAGCAAATCAAACATTGAAACAGTATTTGCAGAAGTTTAAGGACATTACAGATGTAACAGACAGGCTGTTGAAAACTGTTTTCATTTTAAATCACTTGTGTGTTTTTTCTGATCAAGGCCTCCCTCCTGCAGTGATTCATGGAGGAACAGTAAGAAAACAAGAGAGGGAGCCTATGTATGTAATGTATAGAGATCTAGAAACAGGAATATGGAAGGGTCCAGCAGAGGTTAAATACATGGGCAGAGGATATATGTGTATCATTACTCCTACAGGTGTTCAATGGATTCCCAGCCGATGGACAAGGCCGGCTAAGAAAGTTGCTGATGCTTCTGGCAATGATACCAGTAATACAAACTGTCCCGATGATGTTGCCGAAAACGAATGTTTGGATCACTTGGGCGAATAAGACAGGACAGAAAGACTTCTGCCTGTCTCTGGCTTCTTCTGCTGACCCCTTTAGGACCTGTCTCTTTAGGGTACCCATTGGCAATCCAAAGGTAATTTGTCAAACATTCAGTATCTCTCCTTGCAAGTTCAACAGCACCTCTCAAGCTGCTGCTGCAGCTATTAGTGGTCTGACTACTTCTCTGCCATGGGACCCTCAGGAGCTGGACCTACTGGGATCTGTAGCGATTGGAAACAGTTCAGAGAATTGGGCTCAAACGTGTTTTATGTTGGGTAATTTTAAACAAGGTATTCATAATCACAAGCAGTATAATTTGTTGGGTTGGATCAATGTAACTTCTCATACCAAAGGATTTAATTAATAGAATAAGGGAGATCATTGTGGGACTAATAGTACCTTCGGTAGTGGTTTAGGGGCATTAGGATCAGAAGTTAATGGAAAGTTATCAATATGGAACAATGGAACTCCTAAGGCTTTTCCTGATGGAGTGTTTTTGATTTGCGGGGACCGAGCCTGGGGAGGCATACCACAACGGGCCTTTGGTGGTCCTTGCTATATAGGTCACCTGACTCTCATGGCCCCAGCATTATGTCAGTGGGCAAAACAAATGCACTTGCGTAATAAACGCAGTCTTTCAGCCCTTACTGGAAATTGTGATGATTCAATTGAAATATGGGGTATGACCGTGAGAGTTTTTGCCTCCTTGATCCCTGCAATAGGTACTGCTCAGGCCTGCTGGACAGTGGAGCAGTCTAATGTCACCACAAGAGTTATTCAATAGATGGCCAGCGATATGGACAGTCTGAGGCATGCTGTGTTATAGGATCGAGCTGCCATAGACTTGCTTTTGCTTGCCCAGGGACATGGATGTCAGGATTTTGAGGGAATGTGCTGCTTTAATTTATCTGATCATAGTCAATCAATTCAAAGTCAACTGCAATGGATGAAGCAGCACTTGCAAAAGGTACAGGTAGTTAAGAGTCCCTGGGACCAATGGTTCCACTCTGTTTTGGACTGTCCTCCTGGCTACAAAATATCTTACAAGAGGGTTTGCGGTGGTTGGGAATAGCAATATTAGTCATTATAGTTATTAGAATAGCTTATAGTTGCATGATGAGAAATATTAGTAAGGTTATACTTGTGCAAGCTGCACAAAAAGAAAAAGGGGGAATTGTTGGAGAATGGCTAGTAGAACAAGGCCATAGCTCCCTGCAGAAGTTGGTCCCAGCCACCTGAGGTAAACAAAGGAAAGAACCCAGGGTACAGTTATGTAAACAAGGATGAACACCCAGGGCTCAGTTGTGCTAACGAGGATTATTGTGAGAACACAGAGATAAGTTGGGGGCGCAGAATGACCTTGGGGGTGATGGGAAACAGCCCCGGGGAGCGAATGTTCATGCATACCAGAAATGCCACAGGGGCTGGGGTATTATAATGTGATCTTTTGAATGTACCCAATGGCTGAGACATTATAATGTAGTTTCTTGAATGTATCCAATAGAGTTGCAAGTAGTGTATTGTAGACTGCTTATATAAGGTGTGATTTCTCTCAATAAACTTGAAGCTTGCTCTATCATTCACATTGAATCGGCTGCTTGCTTCCTCCGCCCACCGCACTTGCTTAAGAAGCGTAGTAGCGAAAGAGGCCACGCTCTCTGAAGCTGATGATCTGTTACTGCTGGATAGTATCTAACTCCTGAAAACCGACACAACGCAGCCCTGGTGCTGCTGAGCTGGGGGGGCTGTTCAGCTGCTGCGGGCTGTAGCGTAGCGAGAAGCGCAGTACGGCTGTAACATACTTCAGGCGCTGGACAGATGGCCTGAGCTACAATTTAAATGATGTGACAGGCAAAAGGAATCAAAGTGACCACACCTCTCTGCTTATAAATAGATTTTTAATAGGATGCAGCAGTGACGGTCAGAAATAACATTTTGATCATCTGATTTTACAGTGAAAAACCATTGTGTTGTCAGGTTGTCATTTCTTGCCCTTTCCTGTGTTTGGGTGTCCGAGTTTAGAGCAGCATTGTTGTAACTGAAAATAAGGCCATTTCCTACAGGTTCTTTCCTGTGGGATCAGTTAAAATGAAAACACCTTTAAAACTGAGTGATCATACTTCATTTTTCCCACCATGATAAAAACACGTATCTGTGTTTCTCGAGAGCTGTACTTCTGATTCATCCATAAAGAAGTCATCTTGCTTAAGGCACAAGACAACAAGGATTTTCTTCATCTATGTTACAGGTTCCTTTGAGGCACAGAGAGAAACACACCGAATGACAATTTCTGTCGTTGCTGATTCAGGTGAGTAAGATGGTTTCGTCCCTGAAAAGAAGCCCTCTGAAAACAAAACCAACCCCGGGGTTTGTATCTCAGTCCCTGCCCCGTCTGGTCCAAGGGTGGGGGAGGGACAACGGCAACGTGGTCTCGGGTCCCGCCAGGGCCTAAACCACCGCAAAGAGTGACGCAAGATAGCAACAAGTGTGTAAGGGCTTGCTGCTACTTTTAGAATGCACAAGAGTATCTAAGGGCTTGCTTGCTAATAAAGCTTGAGTTTGACTTCCAGTCATATTGACTGTCTCCAGTCTCTCTGCTGGCCTGCCTGGGAATTCGTCCCCACGAGGGATGAAGTCAGAAATTAGATCCTCAGAGTGAAGCAAGACTCCCAAAAAGCCATTTGTTACAGAGTGTATTACTGAATTTCTTTGCACCTTTGATAAATTCTATTTCAGGGAATTGTAATATCCTGGTGTTGTGAGAACGAGAAAGTTGTACAGGTTACCAGAGGTGCATTTTTAAATAGGCAGTCTAGTTTTTTATTAGCTGGCTGGGTTAGTTTAGTTGGGTTTTGAAGTGCTAAGGCTTGGACAAGAGGCCCAAGCCAGAGTCAATCTATAGATCAATCCTGTATATTTTATAGCTGACAAGCACTGTATTAGTAGGTATTGTACTAAACATGTTTATGCTAAATATGTACACATCTATCTCTCCTTATCTTTCCTTGCGTGTAGGCAAGATAACAGGGCCGCAGAGACAGCTGTCTGGCTTAAGTATGTAAGGCTGGGCCCGCTCACAGGGACTTTGGAAGCCTCACCTATGGGTGGAGGCACCGCCTAGGATTACCCACTTGCCGGGACAGGCTCTGCAAACCCTCGCTGCAACCGGGGCTGCCCAGCCACTGCGGGGCTGGATGATGGTAAAGTAGGCAAGTGGTGATGGATCTTTCTTAATGGCTATGCT